TTATCTAACATTTATTTCAACACATATATTCGATTAAGTCTATTTATATTTAATAAATAACACTTATAAAATATTTTTAAAACATACATGGCGAAATACAATATTTTTTTTTTTTTGGTGAAATACAAATATTTCTATGATCACACTTATAAAACATTTCTAAATCCTTCAAATATTTCTAAAATATATCGCTCCAAATACAAAATTTTTTTTTTTTCAAATATAAACATTTCCGAGATCTACAGATAGACTGGGCTAGGGTCGCGCATTGCGCGACCAAACATCACTAGTATATATATATGAGAAATTCTATAGTCCAGTCATAAGTTTTTGACTGAACCATCCAGTTTAAGACTATCCAATAGAAATTTGATGGCCCATATTTAAGCATGGAGTGTGCAACATCTTAACAAAACTAAATCGTTGGTTAACTTGCTAATAAGGTCATTTACCGTATGTTCTTTTGAAATTTACTAAGATAAAATTTGTTTTTAGTTTTAGCAAGATAAGTGATTAATAAACTGACACTCATCCGATTGTTATTATTATATTTTTATTTTTTAATGGAAAATCTAAATGTTACTTGATAAATGAAAAATTAGGCAACGAAAATAATATTGTGAAGAAATTATTAGAGTTTGCTAAACGCTAATTTTGGACGAACACATATTATGTTATGCTATTTCTACGGTATTCCTTACCGGGCAAAATCATTTTCTCTGGACATTGTATCTATGCAATAGATTATTTTATCACCAAAGTATCTCAACAAGACTCTTCCAGACTTTCCTAGAGTGCCTGCCGGCCGGAAATTTCTTAATGTTAATGAATTTGATGCTTCGTTACAGAACAATTTCTCTCAATGAGCACTCCCCAAAAAAAAAGCAAGAAACAGAGAAATAATATTGTGATTACTAGAAATCATATTTAAAGCGAAGAAGATAACTGGATTTGAACATTTAATAGATAATTTTTTTATTACGGTGGGTGGAGGAATAGAGTTGCAGAGAGAATACGTCTGAGGAAGAAGATGACTCAAGTTGGAACTACTATTCAGTTCATCAAAAAAATAGAAGTTCTTTGGATTGAGCAGAAAAGGTTGGGGCTTTTTTGGAATATTGCATAGATTAATCATATGATTAGGAAGCCGAATTTAACGGGAAACCTGTACAAGGTTTAACATTAATAGTTGTACCAATTAGCAATTTGGTAGGTTTTCTTTCTTTTTCAATAAGAGTAGACTGTAAATAAATTATGAGCATAATGAAGTTTTACAATTTATTTCAAAAAATAACGAAAAATAAAATATATAAATATTTTTTTTAAAGAAAAAACAGTATTGATTGAAGCCTAAATTATTTTTGGGATTAATTTTTTCCGACATGGGGTTCAAAAATATTGTGGTAGCAATCACTTTTAATTGGTTTTCAAATGGTGATTCAATTTTACTACCATCAATATCAAATGCGGTTAAATACTTAAAAAACACGATTTGAAAAAATATTACTCCCTTCGTCCCAAAGTTATTGTCCAATTTAGATTTTCACTTATAGTTCGATTTGTACTAAAAATGAAAACCCAAATGGACAATAATTTTGGGACAGAGGGAATATTATTTATGACTTTTAGTAAGAAATTTTCATATTTGTCAAATACATGTATGCAAATTGATTTTTTTTCCCCCTAACACATAATGAAGAACCCCCAAAGTTGAAGACCTAGTTCCGCCACTGGATATGTTCTCTGTTTTACCTGGTCAACAAAGAGTTAAATGGGCAGACTTAGCTAAATTTGGTCGCCCTGCCAAATATCGAAGCTCATCTTGGTGGATAAGTTTTTTCGTTCAAACCAGCTTAGAAGAGAATGAAGCTGCTTCTAAGAAATTCGAGTAAGCGGCAGCCAAGAAATCATACAAGCCCGCTTGCCAAATTTTCCACCTCAAGCATCTGAATTGGACGGTTTCTTGGACTAAAGCTTGAGGTTGTGTGTCGCTTCCTCCTGCAATGCACGGATGGTCTACGTAGCAATCACTTCTGGAGTAGCTTTCGCCGCTTTGGATCCAGGAGACACAATGTTGGGCTTCAAGAGAAGCTTCTCACGGTGCCGAGATAGCAAGGGCTGACAATCACGATGCTGGAGAAGCTGTAAATTTGAATTCGTGATCGATGGGGAACGACAACAACTACTAGGATCCCTTCAACACAGAATCCAAGTAGCTGCGATTCTTACAGACGGGTGATGATGAAAATAAGACAACAACATAAGCTTGCAGAGAAGATGCCGACGAAGGATGTTGAGAAAGAGGAGATGCCGTTGCAGATGTCGGGAAGACAAACCAAGACAACTAGCAATAAAGGAACTACGGCAATGGTGAGAAAGAGGGAGGAACTCCAATGTCACAATTTTTGACACAGTGGAAGAAACTAAGGTTTTATAGTCCGTTTCTATTTTCTATTTTTTTGTTTGTTTAAAGAAAAAATTAAAAAAATCAACAATTACCATGACATAATCCGAGAATTTGAATAAAAATCAAATGTTTTGGAATTAATTTTTCGAAAACTATAAATACCTTTTTATGATGATACTATCATGACCATTGTCCGACTAAACCACATGTGGTCTTCAAATGTTTTGGAATTAATTTTTCGAAACTATAAATACCTTTTTAAGATGATAAAAAATTTGAATGTTCTTAAAGGACCTGACAATTGAACATTTAAATTCACATTAGTCCACATCAATCCTACTTTGTGATAATTTCGTGTTATACACAATCTCATACTAATTTAATGGTAGACACGTATCGTCATGAGTGGAACTGTTTGGAACATTGATTAGACACACGTTCATCATTTAACTAGTTTTATAGAGAGTTTAGAAAGAAATTCTCACCAAGCGTCTTTTATGATTTTTACATTATTAAAAGGAAGTACACGCTTTACGAAGTCACAAAAAATTGGTTTCAAATAATGTTTATTTAGTTATCAACTTTTATGTTACATATCTCGTCACATCACACTTACAAACTTGGTAACAGTGTAATTATATATATATATATATATAAGAAGACATTATTAATTGCGTGTCAAACATTATACATTTAAGAGTTTGGAAACCAACAAAACAAAAAGGCATAGAAATGGCAAATTCATTAGGTTGCTTTGCTTAATTTGTGTGTTCATTGTCTATTTGAGAACATTTTTGTGTTAGATTACATTAAGAATGATTGCTTAATTTGTGTGTTCATTGTCTATTTAAGAACATTTTTGTGTTAGATTAGATTAAGAAGGATGTAATTGAATATAAATAATTTACAATACTAAAATCAATTAAACACTTGAAGGGTGCCGGTATAAAATTTTCTACTTTTTTGTTGGCGCAAATGGATAATTTATTTTTAAAAAATGTTAGATTAAATTTGAAACAACAGTTTCTTGTGGGTGGTTATCTCCACCAGACTTCCTAAATTTTTAAACTCAAAATTTTTTTGTTTCATTAACTTCATTTTTCGTTTAACTTTCTTTTTCCCACGCCCAACTCTCTCACTGTCTCTTCTCTCGTACACCATCATCTTCACCTCTCAAATTCTCAATCCCTCTAAATCAGTAAAGCAATTAAATAAAAGGAAAGAGGAGAGAAAAAGGAAAGAGGAAAGAGAAGAAGAACAAAGGTAGCGGCGCTTAACTTTAAATTAATGTAGTTGTGGTCTGATAGGTTTTGCTTGGTAGTATCTTGGTTTGGGGTACTTGAATTGGTGCTAGAATTAGTGATTGAATTGGGGAGCCACCGTTGGGTCGGTTTCGGTTCGGCGGCAGGTCGTTGATTTAACTTTGCTACCTATTTGATACATATTGTTATTGGCTTTTTTTTTGCTATTTCCTAGTGCTTCAAATGGAATAAATTTTGTTAAAAATTGAGGTTTATGGCCTGAATACATAAGGAATAAAAACTATACGATGAATATTTGTTATTCTTATTGTATTGTTTCCATTGGCATGATATTGAATTTAATTTGTCTAAATGGATAATGGTCATTTAAACAATATCTCGGCATAATTTGTGTTTGTAAATGTCTCGGCACATTTTGTTATAGAGATTAATGAATCCATTCCAAAAAGAAAAAAAAAAAAAGGATTCATACATAGTGTTCTTATCAACGCCGAGTTAGATTCATACATTTTATGGAGGAAAAAATTCTCTAAAAAAGTTACAAAAAAAAAAAAAAATCTTTAACAAGGAGAAGTTCATAAGTGAAGTTACACTGGTTCGAACGGCGGGTCGATGAAGGAAAAACTATCAAAGCATAAGCAATAGAAAAATCTCTAATTAACTTCTCAAACATAAGCAACATAAATCAATATTTAAAAAAGGTTCTGGATCTTCCATACATCTTCTCCCCATGACACCTAACAAGAAAAATTCAACAAAAAAAAAAAAAATTATCTCATAAACCACACATGAAAATTTCTATATTGGACTTAATCGGGACCAATAGAATCTTAGTGCCAATTCGTACAATCCCCAAGTGTTCACCGGCTTTGTGTGTGTCTTGACCTTCTTCGTGTTGGTATCATAAACATAAAATTGGTCTCTGTCTAAACCACTTAGAATGAATTTACCATCGATAGATGACTTGGGACTCATGAAAAGTTGTCGATGCCATATGTGGCCATATGGCATCGGAAATGGTCCAAGAGGCATTGCTACCGTGAATTCAATGATAGAATCGTGCACAATATCCCAATTCCATTTGTATCTTTCTTCTTGAGGTACCTGTCGCATATTCAAACCCCATAACTGAAAATGGCGAGTCCTTTCAAAATATTGTGAATTTGCCACACATAGTTTACAATCCAATATACTTACATTCGAGTATTCGACTCAAATGAAGAACGATTATCTTTCCAACGAGCTTCAGATGGTTGGTTCAAAATTGTAAAAGCTTCGGTTTCAAGGTTGAATGACACAAGAAGTTCATCATTAAGTTCTCTATGTTGTTGTCAAGGCAAGGGATTGTCGATTGGCCAGTAGAAATTGTTTCCAACCGAAATTCCTTGTTCAAGTATTCTAGGACAAGTTTGCTGAATACTTCTCCATATCACAATTTTTGGAGATAACTTTTGGTCTATTGGCCAACTTAATCTCATAGCTTCCATAGTATAGTTGGAACATTTCACAAGTGACATAAAGCTATACTGACCAAGTTCAACATTTAGTCCAAAACTAGCCTCCCAATTTGAATGGAACAATGGATGAAATGGTAATCTCAATTCATATTTTTCACCGGAAGTAGGATTTAATATTCTTACAGATTGAAGCCTCTTTAAACATATCAGATCACAGGTAATAGGCAAAAGTTTGTGCACCTGTAATATGTCAACAGTCTCATTCACTCCCCTAGAAATTACCCTTGTCTCCTCGTTTTGCAAATCCATCGCAGTGAAATTCATCATATTCGGTCTCGCATGAGTGTTGATGGATTGGCATACGAACAATATGTTATGCCTGCTTACTTCCATAAGACATTTGGGCAATGCTGAAATGAATAGCGGCTCAGTGATGACTAAATCCCACTGCTTTCTTATTGTTCGACATCTTGCAAGACTCGTCGCATCGAGCTTTGTCATAATAGTACGGACTATATCTATAGGGAATCCCTCCATACATGTGATTCTCTTCCCTTTGTACGCACGAAGTAGGCTGTTTGTCATCTCTTTAGATAAAGGGATAAAGAATTCTTTTATGTTTTTGGGAGGACGAAAGAATTGAAGTAGTTTGTTTCAGATATGAAGTTTGATCGATGATTGGAGAGGTGAAAGGAAAAAGAATCGGGTAACCAAATATGAACCCGTATAGTAGGCACTTTGACGGCAAAAGAGGTGTGATTAAAGAATTAAAGTAGTTTGTTTTGGATTGTCCTTCTTCTTGATTCCTGTTAATCAGAATTTATCCTCTTACTTTATCTTTATCCTTATCTTTTGTTCGATTTTTGGTGCATGTAGGCTGTTTTAGTGGTTTCTCCCCTTTGCTCCATAACACTTCAATCATAAAAGTGTGTTGTTGTTTCTCAGCGCCGTAACTCTCTTTTTATAATCCTGCCTGCTACTAATCTGGTGCTGCCGCTAGGGGGACCAGTGGCACTCCTCGAATACATTTTGTTCAAACAAGACAACATCACCAGTGCATGCATCCTCTTTGCAGTTCACCACAAAACTAGCAGCCGAGTATTTTTGCTCACCCCCACCGTCGACAACATCAAGATGTTCCCTAATATGCCGAATTAAGGTGTCTTTGTTCCCAGTCAATCTCAATCCATGTTTCCGCAAATAGACCTTACATTGGTCGACTTTAAGCTTTTCCAATTGGATCAAAAGTCGGGTCCTACTGGGAATCATCCGAATCACAGAGACCCGATGATGATGACCCACAATCAATATCGAAGGGCTGATTCTCCGCAGAAACCATTTTTGTTACTTCACCTTTTGGGATTTAAGGAATCTTTTATGTGATCCAAGCGGGAGCTTACGGAGTCATTGGTTGGAATGTATCATTCTTATTTTCTCAAGCATATTAGCAGATAGTCCATTACACATTTTATTATAAGTTTTCCAAAGCATAATTACTAGGAGACATGGTGGCTCGAATACTATAGCCAACAATGTCAATATTGATACAAAACTGATCTATTTCCATCATATACTATTATCTGAACCTTAAACCAATGAAAGTTCAAACATAAATTCAAACAACAATGTCTTATAAAACAAAGGTCAACAAAAGCATATAAAATGTGGACGTCTAGAAAAACCAATTGTCCTCCGAGTAATTTGAAATCGTAAGAAAGTGTAAAGTAAACTAATCCAAAGACAATTGCTCTACGATATGTGAATTCTTCAATTCCCAGCTTCTCAAAAAGTTGGGCCCTTTTCAGAATTTGAGGATGACAAATGATTTTCACCATCAAATGTAATCGATCATTTGCAGAATGGAATCGTATAGGAAATCCATCGTGCATTAAGAAGTACATATCCATGAATTGAATTGCGAACATCCCGCAATCATACCTTTTTACGAATAGAATAGTTTCTTCACTATGATAATTATAAATTGGTAAGCGCTTTCAAATATTCCGCAACATCAAATAAGAAGCGAAATTGAAAACAAATTATGAACCTACCCATTACTTTGTTTTGGCAACCATGTCGGTATGTCAATTGGAAAGGAGGGAATGTCGCCTATATATTCATGACCAAAACCTACTTGAAGTACATTCTGCAACAAACCTACCTACAAATCGTAAAATTTTATTACAGTAATTATAAATGAGTTATATGACTTAAAAAAATTATAAAATGTTAATTTAATAGTTAATTTACCATATTTTTCACGTTGGCTTTTCTTCGATCGTTACATGGCAGTGAGTCAAGTATGGACACGTGCTTCAAGCGGAAATCAATCATGCATACATACCAATGCTGGTTTTCCTCGTTAATAGGAATGAAAATCTGTTGATTGTAAATATTTAAATTATTAGCGACAAATTACACGCATACTAAATAAATGACCATATAACCTATAGCCGATCAAATAATAATATTTCTTAATTAACCATAAAAACTAAAAAGGAGTACCTGTTGACAAGCCTTAATATCACCCCCATATGTCTTGTCTACAAAAAATGAGTTGCATATCTTCCTACACATCTTGTCGTCATTGACACTCGATTTCAAATATCTCTGAAACAAACCGAAATTGTCACTGTCTTCAATTCATGTAGCAAATTTTAAATAAATTATAATACAATACGTACCGGTATATAGTCCGGCAAGAACCAAGTACGGGATTTACCCTTTCCACACGTAGCTTGTTCTTTCAGTGTGAGCATATTGGCATTAATATTTATAACCTACAAATGATTCAATATATTATAAATGATCACTTTTAATGTAAATTTTGCCACGTGATTCCATCACTTGAATTGGTTTTTCTTTCAAGGGAAAATTAAAACATAGTACCTCCGATTTCAGCCATCCTTCGGGTTTCAATGAAATCAATGAAGATCGAGATGCAACATCCGCATGGATGCAAGATAAAGACTCGCTTCAAAACAAAATTATTGCACATTCAAATTGCAAAGAATAAGAAACTAAACAATAATGATCATTGCGGATTTAGTACTTACTTCCTATCCCTCCGTTAAACACATAACTGATCACCTTTTGTTCTTTGTTAGGAAAAATATTCACTGGCACCTATAAGATATAACAAATAACTAAATGATATTGATTGATAAAAAAAAAATACAATACTACAAATTACAACACATATCTTACCCATACGCCATCGACATATAGATGATGTGGTAAACAAAACAGTGGAGCACTAGATGTGTTTAAAATCTGCATGCAAATAAAAGAAAAAATTCCAAATATTCAAACTTGAATATTAACAAATGTTAAACTCAAAAGACAATTCATAAATATGTAAATCTCAAATATTAAATGTTTCAAACCTGTCCATGGGCTTTGCTCCTAGCTTGCTCCAAGTGAATGCTTGAATTTTTTGCTTCTTTGAAATCACGGCAAGTCCTTGTATTGTGTCCCTGACCCTTGCAATGACCACATGTTATTATTCTTTTACCAACTTTTTCACTTGTCTTCTTCGACTCTTCCTTCATTGTAATTACTTCTTCATTGGCAGGAAACCTATAATAACTTCTCAGCTTTTTCATTGTATCAATACTTCCAACAGATTCAAATTGTCCTTTTTTTATTCCCAAAAAATGACTTGAAGAAACACCATGATTTTTGTTTGGAGATGTATATCGCTTCATGCCCATGTTAAAACTGTGGAAAGAAGAACAAGATAAACAATTTAATTGGTTTGTATAAATTCAAGGCAGTCGAAACAGAAACTAAGACACTAAAATAGAAGAGCAAGCTGAAATAAAAAAAAAAACAAAAACATTATTCTATTTAAGAAACAAAATAGAAATCTTCTTCCATACGAACAGCTCATGTAAAAGACCAAGTTCTGCAAATTTAATAAAACAAATCATTTAATTCAATAGGAACAAAATCAAATGGCAAAAAAGTTTTCGTATGCATTAACTAATATACTTGAGTGGGCGGTTTCAGACCTGAAAAACTGAAAATTTTGAAAAACAAACATACACAAGTTCTGAGAAAATTCTTTTCAATTTTTACAAGTTTTAGGCAACTCACAACCAATCAAAGAGGACAATCAAGCTCTACTTAGTTGTCATAACTCAAAGTTGAAGATACGAGACCCACAATGTCATTCAATTTAGGAAGGAAACCAAAATCCTAGTAAACGCAACTATTGAAATTCATAGCAAAACGATCACCTTTCTCGACTGCGGAAGTAAGTCGTAAGCGGTATGTGTAGACAAAAAATCTAAAATACAGTGGCGAGTCAACTCCAACTCAGCTTCTGATATTCCACAATCTCAAACTGTGACTTGCTAATCAAAAAGATAAAAAAAAAAAAAATCTAAAAGCATCAGACAGAATTAATTGCAAAACACACGCCATGAAGAAGATATGAAACAAAGACAAAAGGTGCAAAGTAGAAACATGCATTCAATTATAAGGAAACCTAAAATCAAATATTGCTATTTGTGCTCGTTTTTAAGACAACCTTTTAATAGAAGGTAAAAATTACTTCAACTTCATACTACAAGAAAACTAAACCGGATACAACTACGGGGTGGAGAATTGAAAAACCGGTCAAGAATTGGTTATTCCCGCCTGTCTTTTTTTTTTTTTTTTTTGAAAGGGGAAAAAAATTTACAATCAAATTTCTACCATGGCTATTCCAGGTACATTCGTAAAATACATAAACTGAAACTTCACTCCTAAAGCTTTAAGAGGAAAACCAAAGACTATAATTAAACATTGTAGCGATTTGCTCCACAAAGATCAATATACTAAATGAATATGGATCCCAAAAAATCTGACAAGAAAAGGAAGGACAATACAAGCAACAACGATGGATATCACAACCAAAATATGGTCTCAAAATTTGTACCTTTTTTTTTTATTTCTATTCTCTCCTTCTGGCAATGTTTCTCCTCCTCACTTCTTTGTGGATGTGTTCTTCCTCCTACCTCTTTCGTCTTCCTCTCTTTGTGGCCGTGTTCTTCCTCCTCCATCGCTTCCTCTTTCATCCACTCTATACTCCATAATTGGGCTGATTAAAAGGCAATAAATAAAAAAATATAGGTAATATTGGATTCGATTGAGGCCATTTAATGGATTATTAATATATATAGACAAGTTCCTCATGATTTTTGGTTGAGGATTAGGATTGCCGATTGATGATACACTCGGAGAAGAAGAAGTTGAATGTGTTTTTGGTTAAAACTTTGAAGTTTATAAAAAAAATTAATTTTCTAACGCAGGTAATTCGACATGTTTGATAGGTAACCGGTTGTAATTAAATTATCCGGTGGTGTAAGGTGTATTTTAATTATAGAACACCTCATTCTAATCTAATGTTTGATATTAATTTTAATGATCCAATGGTTATTAAAGTCGACTGAACCGTTCAGTCGACTGGACTGTAGTCACTCCTTATATACACACACATAATACTTTCAATAAATATATATATAAACACTTTCAATCTAGGAAGCCTTGTGTTGAGAGGACATGAATATTTATAAACTTTTTTCAGAGTAGATCTCCAT